GTGCCAATGGTGATATATTTTTTCTGGCACGTAATGATCTTGGCCCATCAGTAACATATTTTCGCCTCCGTCCTGATGGCCAGCAACGGAAGGTGCGGTCCTTGGTCCGGGCAACGACCGAGCCGGTATGGATTGAGTTGTGGTTTTTAATTATTATTATATTCGTTTATTTATTCATAATAACCAAAGGGTTGGATTGATAATGATTGTCATCTTCATGTAGTGTGTCTTGGGCAGTGTCGCATGGCGGAGCCGATCCCTCTCCATGCCCGACCACAGTCGATGTCCTCCACTTAGTTGGTTCTTGATCTTGAACACGTAGCCGTTGACTTCATCCGCCTTGGCCGGTAACCTGTTTCGTGAAGGTCATTCGCCCAGTGATGCCGTGTTAACATCACTCCCTCACGTGGTTTAGCACACCTGCGAAGGCGAGGTCCCGGGGTGTGGCGCTTGGAGCCAGCACGTGAGAGATTTAGGAGATGGATGAGGACCAGTGATACCTGTCCACCCTACCAGGTAGAGTGCAGCAGCCAGACATTAACGGTGTAACCCCGATCTAGAGCCTCAATACACCCCAGAGCCCCATTACACGCTTGCCTAAAGGATCGTTCGGGAGTACCAATTATATCCCCAAAACAAAGATTCCAACCATACAATAGTGTCCAATCCATTCGTGGAAAGAAAACCTTAAAAGAAGACTGCAAAGCTGCGTTAACCAGCACTTCATTTAAAGAGGTTGGTGGACATATCTTTCAAAGTGGCATACTTCCCTTGAAGAGACTGCAAATTCGTTTGTTCTTGGAATAGACTCTGCCTATGTACTTACTCCTGCATACAGTTTGAGTCCAAAAAAAGTTTACATCTAGAAAATTGTTATTAATTTATTCTAACAAATGTTTTAACAGGAGTAAATTATATATTTGCCAAAGAGCGTACGAATACCAAAGGTAAATATACTTGTTTACAGAAGTTTGGGTGCCACACAATGTTCCATATTGTAATTTTTGTTTTTGATATCAAGATGAGACTATATACGGTATCGGCAAAGACAGCCGAATTTGAGTAGATCAAGCGTTTTACATGTGTCGTTGTAACGTGGACTTTAAGGCTAGCCTCAAAGTCAGAGGCCGCCCGCGGGAGGGGGGGGGGGACAGTTCCCCTCACTTGTTAAAGTACCCCCAAAGCGTCTTTTTACAGAGAAAAAAGTGCCCAGTTTACTTTGATAAGTGCCCCTTTTTATTTTGACACGTTCCCCCTTTCCTTCGACAAGTTCCCATCTCCCTTTGCAATAAGTGTCCATTTTACATTCTCATAAGTGCCCTTTTTAATCTCTAGTAAGTGCTTCTTTTCAGGTACGAGAAGTGCCCCTTTTCATTTTTACAAAGTGCCCCCTACACCTCTGATAAATGCCCTATTCATATCTGAGATGTGCCCCTTTTACCTTGACAAGTGCCCCTTTCCCTTTGCAAGAAGTGCCCCTCTCCCTTTTAATAATACCCCCGTTTTTGATAATTGGTCTTTTCATCTCTGAATGATGAGTGTCTCTTTTCAACTGTAATAACTGTCCATTTTATTTTGACACGTACCCTTTTTCCATTCTAATAAATGCTCTTTTAAACCTAATTATAAGTGCCCCTTATCTTATCTGGTCAGTGCCCCCTTTTAGGCGGTATAAATGTCCCTTTTCACCTCTAATAATTCAATTTTAACAACGATACGTGCCCCTTTTCTTTTCTAATAATAAGGGACCTATCCCTTTTCATAAATACCCCTGTTCACCTTTCATAAATGCCCCTATCAAAATATGATTGGTGCTCCTTTTCCCACTTCCTAATCTCATGAGCGCCCTTTTTTTATCAATGGTGAGTGCCTCTTTTTGTAGGTGTAAGAAGTGCCCCATTTTCACCTCTGATAAATACCCTTTGTACTTTGGCAAGTTCTCCTTTTCTTTTCTAATAAGAGTCTTATCCCTTGTAATAAGTGTCCCCCTTTCCTCCCATCATGGAATGTTGACACCTTTTCTCAATGCTGGGTTGTATATGACGCGAGGAAGTTCTTTAATTTCAATTATATATCCTCACATGCTCTCGATCTACATGTATATATATCTTCCTTTTTAAAATCCTATGACTCTATCATATTTTTCTTTCACGACAAATTTCTATTACTTTAAATTCAATATATTTTTTCATTCTCACACTCTTTATCTCCTCCTTTTGAAATCTCTCACTGAATAATACATCTCTTTCATTAAAACTTCTCTCAATATGTCTTCTCGACACGTTCTTATACGCTTTGTATCTCTCTTCTTCTTACACAAACACAATTGACAGTAAAGTCATTGAAATTTAATTATTACACATGGCCTTCGGAAATGTAACGCCCCTACCAGGTTACAGGGGAGCTTAACATGATAAAATGAAGAGAAGAAAACAGTTGCTTGTGGTGAAATTGCTGTCAGCATGAAGAATGACTTTTATTACTAGAATAATCATACTCAAAAGTAATCAATATACAAATAACGATCATGAACACATGTTAATGCTTTAGTTTTATATAATGGTAAAGCTATTTCATATCAATCTGCATGAGCTAGATCAAAAGAAATCTATTAAGCTAATCTCTAAGTATATATTTAACAGCTTTTTAAAAATGTGTATAATACAATGAAATAAATGTTAAGTTAATTCAAACTAACATTTCCTGGCTTCAACAATAACACATAACTCACTCACAGGTAATATAAATAGTTTAATTGCAGATACAACATTTTCAATTAATAGTATACAAATATACAATGACACTCGATGATCTAGCTGAAACTATTCGCATCGAAGGAACATCAACTAGTACTATTCTCCCGAGGGACATCGGCCCGAGGGAGAAAAGTACTAAAGATGTTCCTGAGTGCGAATAGTTTTAGCTTGTTCCGAGAATGAGTCATTTTATATTTGTTTTATATCCCTTCCATCTGTATTATTCCTACACTTCTGTAATAACATGAACCTTATACTCACATTCACATCTTACATTCAGATCTAAAAGAAATCAAAGAAAATTGCACGGCTCAAAAACAGGATTTAGCTGGCGCTGCGTATAGTGTAGTGCAACTATCGCGCGCACAGCACAAATTGCATGTGCGCATGCTTTGTGCGCGGAGGCATTGAGGCATTTTTTGTATGGATTAACATTAATTGTATTTGTATTGTATATTTCACAGTGTTAAATTGACAAATTCAAATTGTTTGTAAACTTCTCCAATACCCCAATGTGGGTGACATGAGAATAAATTGTCATTGTCATTGTCATTGTCATTGAAATCCTATACGCTCGCTGACGTCACGCATAGTCCCTTTTTTTTCCCAAGGGAAAAAAGGTACTATGCGTGACGTCAGCAATAAAAAATGTACTATTCCGATGTGGGCGGCAGGAAACGTATTTTATACTAAAACTATTCATTTTCTTGTTGTGTACACTCCTAATGCAACAATCTTACGATAAGGGATATAATTAAAAATATATCCTGCAATAAATATAATCCTTACGTTCAATAACCAAGCAGTTCCAAATTGCTCGTGCAATATGAAACAACATGCTATAACAGATTTATGTTCTCTCAAAAATCCACATGGACAATTAAATACATTTAATGATTGTTTGAATCATCTGAAAATATACTTAAGATTTAAAGAGCGAAAATATATCACTGTGCAATGAAATGACAGGAAGCATAATATTGAAAGCAATAATTCCTTGCTTTAGGTTCCCTTTAAACTCTCAAACGAACTCCCTAGCTGGAGTAAAATCCGCTAAAGAAAAATATGATTTCCTCAATGTAAGAAAGTGCTCTATGTGCTCCTGTTTCACTGCATCAGCTAATTAAAAGAGAAACTTCTTTCTACCAATTTTTTGAGTTAAAACATATTCCTGAAACTTCGCATACCGCTGGGTTGGCTGTTTTACTAATCAAATCACTCAAGTCCCTATCTCCAAATAACTGATATTACTTAGCCATTTGCTCTAGCGTAGCATCACGGATACAAAATACAATATAATAATATGTAATCAAGCTCATGAAATGTGTGTCGCAATCATTAATTATGCCGATTAGAATTCACTAGCTGCACTATTCTAAAACGTAGCAAAATACATCTTCTAAATGGGTCCAAAAGAGACCACTTACTTGACTACAAGACTGTTTATTAGTAGGTTATAATTAAGAGGCGCCACACAGTCCCTCTCTTAGAACAAAGGTCCTGTTCACATTTATAAACAACTTGGGTGCTGTGTTTCCACTTCGTTACAGTAAGTCTATATCACTGGTTACAGGTTTGTTCATATTCTAGTTGTGAAATGGGTATCCACACACTCACACTACTATTTCAATTGGCGTTCATTCATAGCATCAAAAATTATCCTATCCTTCTACCGATTCTATACCTTCTAAAGCGTAATAGAAAAACTTTAAAAATAGTAAACAGTTATGTACTTGCAAAACTCATCAATTCATTATACTGTTTAATATCAATATACCGGCGATATAACTCTAAAGTATTAGTATAAACATACTCATCCAGCTCTTTTGATGCACAATCACATCACGCTTAAGTATATAATCTCATTAGGAGATTTGCTACACTTCACGGGCGATCATCTAACAACATAGAGTCAATGAGAATTAGGTACTTTGAGAAAAAATCCCACTCCCATTCATATAACACGTACAAGTAGGAACCATAATGACAGATTTTGCAGTCTTCACCTTAAATCGGAATTATGACCACGATCCTGTCTTCTGATCAAAAATTGAATCATAATAAAATTGTAGAGTAAAGTCTCAGCTGGGGTAAAATTTTAAATTGAAACTTTTTCCTTCCAAAAAAGCGTCATTAGGGCGCCAACAGTTGCTCCTATGTTTTCTATATATCTGAAGAATGACCTAATCAGAACTATTCAACGCCATGTAGTTGATTCAATTATATTTGTAAGGGGGGCAGTTAACTTGGCAATTGTATACAAATGTTTGTCTTTGAATGCTTTTCTAATTATCATAAACACTCTAGGTCTACTGTTCACCTTGGTATTAGCCAGCACGTTTTCTTATGAGCTTTGAGTTATTTAGTTTTTGAGGTTAATAAACCATTTACGCGATGTCACCTTCGAGTTTATGCAGGCAAGATGATGTAACTGCCAAATGAATATACGTGACAATGAGAGCATGATAACCATCTAAACACGTATCTTGAGATTTGCCCCCTCTAAAAAACAAAATTGCAACACAGCAACAACCACCACCACAACAACAACAACAACAAAGACAAAATCAATGTTTACCAGCAAGGGTTAGAGATACGACTGGATCCAGGTATACAGGTATCGCTGTTGTGGGTACGCTCATAGTAGTTGGAATCGGAGTTTATTCTGTTGAAAACAATGATAACAAGAAGTTACTATCAACAACAAGGAATATAAATATGAATAACAAAGGGGGTATAAAATTAAACAGTATAATGTTCGTTTAAATGAATTAGTCATGATTGAAAACCAATAAAGTCTAATAGACAGAGAAGGCAAAACTTAACTCCGGCTCTCAACATTGTTCTCGAAAGCCCATTCACGGGATAAGGTTACCGAACAAAAGAGTCCAAATTGTTACATATTTGAAACATTAGGATGGCCGCTCACGGAAAAAATAAAATGAAATAATTAGCTAGATGATACGTATACGATGCGGTACCCTAACATTAAAACTGGCACGGTCAATGTTACCAAAGCTGACAGGTAATTCCATCAAAACAAAGAACTAAATATTATTAGTTAAAAATGAAGGAGTAGAAGCATCCGATCAAAGCAAATGACATACGAGTGGGCGCATGAACCCCTTCAGGAAACAGTTTAAGTGCAGTGGGATTTTACTCTTTAGGTTTGAATGCTTTGCAAGAACCTCAACATAGCATAATTTGTTTCTTTTCTCCTGCCAATGTAATATAATTTGATATGAATGCATACATCTTTATATTAATTAATTTTGAGCAGCGCTTTGCTCACATTTTAAATACTTCTACCCTACCTTGGCATCTCGGGTCAAGGTAACCTACAGCACAATACTCCCGTCTTATCCCAGGATTGGTGGTGTAACACCAAGCAGTGACACCTCCATCGGGGTTTCTGCAATAGCTTCCGTCTAGTCCCGCGTTAGGATAGTTAGCTGGAGTGATAGTGTGTTCATGGGGATCTTGAGAGGTCCACGCTTGACAAGTACGACCGTTGATGGTCTGAGATAAGTTTCCTCTGTAGTTCACTCCTCTAGGATCATCCAGGCATGTATTTGTGGCTGGAGAAAAGACAGAAAGTAACATTTTAAAAGAGCTTGCTAAAGTAATTTTGGTTCAGACCATGGGCGTAGATCTGTAATTGATACCTATTGTTCAGGGGGGATGATCTATTCATTCATCCCCCCTGAACAATAGGTATTTCGTAAGGATTGACGCCCATGGTTCAGACTAATAATTTGCTACATCTTTCCACTCAAAAAAGCAATTATCTACTGTTATGCAACGATTGATGCACAGACCAAATTAGAATTTTTGGTGTCAGTCACTTACAAATATGACGACGCCTGATGTGTAGGCCATATTTAACATAATCATGATTACGTGTCAAGATCACTGCCCATGAAGTGCCAACTTGGAAAACATTCAATATAACTACCCTCTAATAGACCTAAAACCCCGTCTTAACCGGAAAACATAGTCGCGGTGTATTCGAATGACGTTCTACCCCGTTCCAGTTTAAGAGAAGGTTGAGTTCTGGGAAGAGGTGAAAATAATTTGTGAGCATTACTCATTCTTATTATGCAAGTGTGGAAGAACATCAGATTAGACATGTTCCCTGAAAAGCATGGCTCTTCTAATGCCTTCATATTCTAAATATGCATGTAACATCGTAAAAATCGGGGGGCCGGCTTTTTACGCCACTTGTTCGTGTAGTCCTATATACATCTTTCTGTGTACAGTGTTTGTAACTTTACCAAGACTTGGCCAAATTTCTTATCATTTTGATGATTCCAGAACCTTGCAATACACACAAATTCTTATATGCTATATGATCAACCTTTTCTGGTCGGTTCCACACCGTTTCTTTCACAATGCAATCGCATGACCAGAACTCAACTTCATCTTTAAGACGCGTTAATCGGGGTAACGTCCGAACGTTGTCCGGATGACATCCTGATAAACGGCCTATTAAGACGCGCGTGGAACTTTACCCGGGTAGAATGACGTCAGGGCCGTTAAAAAAATGTATACACATCGCGCGCCAGCTGATCGCGATGAGGGAGGTGCGGTTGTTATGGTAACCTACTCGAGTGAGGTTTTTGCGGATGGCTGGTTAAGACGGTGTCCATGAGCCTGGCAAAAGCTCACCCCGTGTTTTACGGGATAAGAGCACACTTTTTTAATTTTTTTTTTGCTCCCGTAAATTTGAAAATCGCGCCGGCCGCAAATTCGTTCAGTTATTTTTTATTTTTATTTTATTTTTTATTTTTTAGGGGGGGGGGGGGGGTAGTGCACACAATTTTTTTGACCGGGGGGGCATGTGCCCCCTGTGCCCCCCTCCCTCCCCTGGATCCGTGCATGCACCCTCATGGCAGGCTATGAGTTAAGACGGGGCTTAAGACGACTACCCGCTGGACAAACACCCCGGATGACTCCCCTATAGACATACACCCAAGACTACCACCCTCTGGACAACACCCCAGAAATTGCTGATGACAATATGGAACTTAAATATTAATAAATGAGGGTAGATAAATTGTACAATTGTATGAAATATTGATGAACAATAACACCAAAATTCATTTGATTTGAAACACGCACATCCGCCTAAGCAAACTCCAATAAGATTTACACATTTAAGTGAAATTATAATCTTTAGGTTCAATGGCTTTCCAAGAATCCCAACATAGCACATTTTGTTTCTTTTCTCCTGTCAATGCAAAATCATGTGATATAAATGCATGTATCTTGATATTAATTAATTTTGAGCAGCAATTTGCTCACAATATAAACACTACAACGCTACCTTGGCATCTCGGGTCAAGGGAACCTACAGCACAATACTGCCAATTTATCCCAAGATTGGTGGTGAAACACCAAGCAGTGAATCCCATATCGGGGTTTCTGCAATAGTTTTCATCTAGTCCCGTGTTAGGATATTTAGTCATAAAGTATCCATGAGAGGTCCACGCCTGACAATTATCCTCGTTGATTGTGTGAGATAAGTTTCCTCTGTAATTCACTCCTCTAGGATCTAGTAATATTTCAAAAGAGCTTGCTATAAGTACTATTGGTTCAGACTAATAATTTGCTACATCTTTCCACTCGAAAAAAAGCAATTATCTACTGTTATGCAACGATTGATGCACATACCAAATTATAATTTCTTGTGTCAGTCACTTGCGAATATGACGACGCCTGAATTGTAGGCCATATTTAACATAATCATGATTACACCATCATACTTACGTGTCAGGATCACTGCCCATGCAGTGCCCACTTGAAAAATATTCAATATAACTACCCTCTAATAGACAAACAGCCAAGGTGACTACCCTGTAGCAAACACCTAAGATGACTACCCTTTAGCAAACACCTAAAGATGACTACCCTCTGGACTAACACCCAATATGACTACCCTCTAGACAAACACCTATACAGATGACTACCCTCTGGACTAACACCCAATATGACTACCCTCTAGACAAACACCTATAAAGATGACTACCCTCTAGACAAACACCTAAGATGACTTCCCTCTAGACAAACACCCAGGATGACTACCGCTGAACAAACACCCAGGATGACTCCCCTATAGACATGCACCTAAGACTTCTACCCTCTGGGCGCCACACCCCAGAAATTGATGATAATAATATGGAACTTAAATATAAATACAATAGGGGAGATAAAATCGAATAGTGTATTTTACATTTGTATGAAATATTGATGACAAATAACACCCATATGCATATGATTTTCAGCACACGCACATCCGCCTATACGTACACACCAATGTGATTCACACATTCATGTACAATGCAAGATGATGATGTTGATAGTGATTATACAATAATCCAGCAGCTGCCTGATCGGCGATAATATAACAGTTCGTAGTTAGCACATGGTTTAGATGACCGCCAGTATCCACAGATCTTTTGAACATAGATAAATCCCACTTTGTGCTTTTGGAATAATCACAGCTAAAAATTCATTAAAGTAGATATTCATTGATTTTAAATCTAGCTTTATTTTCATTATTGCAAAGTTGAAACTTTGATTCGACAAGGTCATCAAAATTCAATGCTTGGAAACATTCGAAGTAATGATTATTATAAATTACAAAACGCTTAAATACAGCCCCGGCATAGCACCTGAATAGCTCTCCGAACGCTGCTGAGATGTGTGAGATCACAGCAGGGACATGATTTGCACAAGCAGACGATGTACCATGACATCTCACACATTTTCAGTGCCTGTATTTTCATCTTCTCTTGAGTTCTTTCTCTTACTTCACTACCGCCAGGCTAAATGTATAATCTATTGCCTCACTCTTAACCCCGCGCATGGTTTTATTTTGATGACAAATGCAGCGATACAAAAATAAAGGAATCTGTCGCTTGTAAACAAAATAAGACGCCATTGTATATTCAGCTGCAGACACCGCGGTATGTTCGGCGTTTTAAGAGGGAACAAATGCCGTCCTTAATATCAATCCGAGGGCTTTTCAATTTGAAAGGCTGGTTTCTTTGATTGTTAATTAACCCCTATCCTGTGTATTTACAAGCATAAGATTTTAGTTATCAGAATCGGGTCATGTCCCCTTTTGATCGGTTTGACGTGCCAGTACATTTATATACACTAAACTCATTATAATTTGACAAATAATAGCTTTGCAATTATGTTCATTCTTTATGGGATGTCGTCTGCTTGGGCAGTATTGGTCCCTGTTGTGACGTCATTAAAGCATCGTTATTTTTCCGGCGAATCTCTCGTATATCCCAGCTGCTATGGAGGTGGTTGTATTTTTATTTTTATAAATCACCCGATATGTAGCTGACCTCAAACTTGTACGATGGCCATCTGTTAGCTTACCAGTTTCTAGTGATACATTAGTTGACATATTTGTGATTTTCTTTGAATTTCACCTTTAAGAGGTGATTCTTTGTTTGCCCTCTTGAAAGGATTACTTCCACATGTGTTCAATAGAATGTATCATAGGTACATGCATGTATAATATAATATTGAATAACTTTCGTGAGAATGACTGTATCCAGTATTAGTCTAAGTGAATTTACAATTTTGTACGAGTGTCCTTTATCTGCGCATGCGCAGATTGTATCTACGAACTGGGCATTATGTCTTCAAAGGCTTTAGGTTATGCTAAGGTCACATTACCCAAAAGTTGCCTGCTCGGCGGCCGAGCGGCGAGTTTTTAACCAATTCTGCCCGGCGGCTGCTCGGCCACCGAGCGGCGGCCGCCCAGGCATCGCTCGTTTTTAGGGCATCGCTCGGTCGCCGCTGAAGTTTTAGCGCGGAGTTAAAATTTGGGCGGCGCCTGCTCACTTTTCACTCGCCGCCCAAAATACGCTCGGTGCCTGGGCGGTCGCCGGCCGGCACCGACCTAATTGCTGGGCGATGCCTAAATTCCAGCAGCGACCGAGCAGGCTACTGATCGGTCGGTCGCTGCTCAGATTTGTGACCATAGCATTAGGTGTAGGTTTGGGATTAAGGTTAGCTTAAGTGTTTGGTCCAGGGTTAAAGTTTGCGATTTAGTTAGTGTAGGAAATTGAATACGGAGTACTGTCACAGGAGCATTCTGTCACACAACCGATGTAATACAAGACGATCACATATGCTTTCAATGAATCACTACGGGTGATTTCAATACACTATTGTACTGTCACTATATGTTCGCACATTCTAAACGGTGACACTTCAAGGCTACATCGTAGTGTCAGCATAAAGTTCAACTCCTACATAAAACGAAATGAAATAATAAAGAACAGTTGGTGACTCTAAGGAAAAAAGTTCGCCATGGTAGAAGATCTGATATCAGAACAAAACCCAGCAACACTCAACGAAGCAAAATATAAATCTAAAGTCAGAACTGCGTATATAGTCAGAACGGAAGGATAATGATGGCTTTAATTTTCGAGACATAGTTATTTTTATACGCTCTCGGGAAGGTTACAATCGAGCTATTGCCCTCGGCAAGCCTTGGGCAAATTTGTAGATTTAGGTGTGTTTTGTCAAAGTCGAAGGAACTTTCTAGCCAAATAGTTTATTTTATTGTATTGCTGTGGCGTATTTGCTGTCGATGACAAAAGAATAAGATGGGCACTTCCCCTCTTATAAAAAAATGTTTTAGCAACGTCCTTAATAGGAAAGGACACAAAACAGTCAGATAAAGACTAATACAGAGATAAAGAAAGAGACAGGGAGAGAGAGAGGGGGAGGGGGAGGGAGAGAAAGAGAAAGTGATAGAAGGGGAGGGGAAGTGGCTAGACACAACATGATAAGGATTAAATGCATGATGTCATTTTATTGTTACTTTTACTTACTGGAGGTGGTGGTTTCTTGCGATGCCGTTGTGTCTGACATCATTGTCGTAGGGCTCGTCATGGGTTTGGTGGTCGCGTCCGTAGTCAATGATTCACTTGACTCTGAAACGATTTTAACAAACATAACAGAGTTATCAAAATGATCATGATATAGTTGATGGTTCAGGGTTATAAACAATTAAAACATAAATTTTAACAGTTTATTTCTTTTAAAAGGTATAATTTGTGTCAGCATATTTTTGGATTTAGTGGTGTTTTGTCAAAGCCCAAGGGACTTTTTTGTCACATAATGTATCTAACTATGTTCCTGTGGCGTGTTTGTTGTCCCGAAACTCGCGTTCTTAAAATAAAGGCGGATACTCCTCCCTACCTCCTCCCTAAAAAGAAGTTTCATCAATGGCCCTGTAAGCAAAGGGTAAAAAAAGAGAGTCAGGTAGAGACTAATAAAGAGAGGGAGGAAGAAAGGGAGAGAGGGTTGGAGAGGGTTCGGCAGGGGAAATGTGTGAGAGATGGAGGGAGAGATAATGAGAGAGAGAGAGAGAGAGGGAGAGAGAGGGGGAGTGGTAGTTAACGATTATAACGATGATCGAAGGCATGACATAATTTCATTGTTTTTCTTACTTACTGGTGGTGGAGGTTTCTTGAGATGACGTTGTGTATGACATCGTGGTCGTGGGGCCTATCCCGGGCTTGGTAGTCGATTCCGTAGTCAATGCTTCTGTTGACTCTGAAACGTTATAACAAACATAACTGAGCTAAGTGATCATGATAAAGTTAATGGTTCAGGGTTTAATATAACAAATGAACCCACACGTACAAATCAATGTGATTAGGAATGGCACCTAAACAGGATTAGAACGCACAAACGTGGACAATTTAGCTCCAGGAGAATATATAAACTTTGACAGCTCATTTCTGTTGTAAAGTAAACAAAAATAACAAATAAGACGAGCACTTCCCCCCCTTATACAAAACTGTTTTAGCAACGTCCGTAATAGGAAAGGACACAATACAGTAAGATAAAGACTAAGACAGAGATTGAGAAAGAGAGAGGAGGGGAGGGAGATAAAGAGAGAGTGATAGAAGGGGAGGGGAAGTGGCTAGACACGTAATGAAAAGGATTAAATGCAAGAGGTTATTTCATTGTTTATCTTACTTACTGGAGGTGGTGGTTTCTTCATATGCCGTTGTGTCTGAAATCGTTGTCGTAGGGCTCGGTTTGGTGGTCGCGTCCGTAGTTAATGATTCACTTGACTCTGAAATGATTTTAACAAACATGACAGAGTTATCAAATTGAATATGATATAGTAAATGGTTCAGGGTTATAAAAAATGAAAACATAAATTTGAACAGTTTATTTCTTTTATAAGGTATAATTTGTGTCCGCATAATTTTAGATTTAGTGGTGTTTTGTCAAAGCCCAAGGGACTTTTTTTGTCACATAATGTATCTAACTATGTTCCTGTGGCGTGTTTGTTGTCCTTAAACTCGCGTTCTTAAAACAAAAGACATATAATACCCCCACCCCCTCCCTAAAAAGAAGTTTCATCAATGGCCCTGTAAGCAAAGGGTAAAGAAAAAGAGAGTCAGGTAGAGACTAATAGATAGAGGGAGGAAAAAAGGGAGAGAGGGGTGGAGGGGGTTCGGCAGGGGAAATGTGTGAGAGACGGAGGGAGAGACAATGAGAGAGAGAGAGAGAGAGAGAGGGAGAGAGATAGGGTGGGGGGAAGTGGTAGTGGCACATTATAACAAAGATCGAATGCATGACGTCATTTCATTGTTTTTCTTACTTACTGGTGGTGGAGGTTTCTTGCGATGATGTTGTGTCTGACATCGTGGTCGTAGGGCCCATCCCGGGCTTGGTAGTCGATTCCGTAGTCGATGATTCTGTTGACTCTGAAACGTTAAAAACAAACGTAACTGAGCTAAGTGATCATGATATAGTTAATAGTTCAGGGTTTAATATAATGAACCCACACGTACAAATCAATGTGATTAGGAATGGCACCTAAACAGGATTAGAACGCACAAACGTGGACAATTTAGCTCCAGGAAAATAAATAAACTTTGACAGCTCATTTCTGTTGTAAAGTAAACAAAAACAATAATAAGACGAGCACTTTCCCCCTTATACAAAAATGTTTTAGCAACGTCCGTAATAGGAAAGGACACAAAACAGTCAGATAAAGACTAAGACAGATTTTGAGAAAGAGAGAGAGAGGGGGGAGGGAGAGAAATAGAGAGTGATAGAAGGGGGAGGGGAAGTGGCTAGACACGTGATGATAAGGATTAAATGCAAGAGGTTATTTCATTGTTTATCTTACTTACTGGAGGTGGTGGTTTCTTCATATGCCGTTGTGTCTAACATCGTTGTCGTAGGGCTCGTCATGGGCTTGGTGGTCGCGTCCGTAGTCGATGTTTCACTTGACTCTGAAACGATTTTAATAAACATAACTGAGTTAAATGACCATGATATAGTAAATGGTTTAGGGTTATAGAAAATGAAAACATACATGCTAACAGTTTATTTATTTTATAAGGTATAATTTGTGTCAGCAAAGCCCAAGGGACTTTTTGTCACATAATGTATCTAAATATGTTCCTGTGGCGTGTTTGTTGTCATTACACTCATAGGCAAAAGAATTGGATGAGTAATATCCCCCTTTAAAAAAGGGTTTTAGGAAATAGTAAAACCCTGTTAAAGGAAAGGACAAAGAAAAAGAGAGTCAAATAAGGACTGAGAGAGAAAGAAAGAGAGATTAGAGAGGGGCCCGCGGCGGCGTACTTTTCCCCCACCTGAGCTCCGGTCCCGCAGTATGAACTCATTTGTATACAGCCAAACAGAGCTCATCTTGTCAAAAACAAGCTTTTGCCTAGGACGATTTTCCCTACCCGGCGGCTTGCCGTGGATTTAGAGACCGTACGAGAACCTTCCGATTTTCATATCTACGGCGTGTGTGGTCACATATTCGGCGGGGCCCGGGAGGTGCCCGGTGAAAAGTGGTCGAGTGAAATGCAAGGCGCCCGTAAGGATGCCGGCCGGTAAGCTTACGGGCTCCTTCCGATGAGCAGGTGCACCCATGGCTTCCGGAAGGTGCCCTGCCGGGGCCCGGCCGGGTGCCGTGCGGTGCACTGAAATAAGTGTCCTCTGACATCCGCACCTCCTGTATTTAAAGCTACGTTGCATATTTTGATATGCCGCCGTAAGGGGCCCGCACGGGCAATGTTCATTTCAAATGGGCACCGGGCGTCTGCCGTCCGGGGTCCATTTGAAATGAAGCTCTGGGCTTCACAAACTTACACACAGTGCGTTAGCCTATATCAGCATGCATGGTTTGCATACATAGGCATAGGCTTGCAAATGTTTCATTTCTGCTCTAGCATCTCTACCTTTAGCAAATTCATTACAGATCTACAAATATCAGCTTATCAAATCGCTGTGAAAACTGTTACTTAGCACTAAGTTACAATTACTCTAGCAATCAAGGATAGGCCTTTCTCGTCATCGAAGCCACTATATATTAAAGGGACCCATTTCTAAAGATTGTACGGTTGAGAATTTATCATAGATCTATACACCTCTAAAAGGCTCTAATATAATATTAGCTTATGAAATTGCCGTTTAAAGTTATTACTTAGCGCCAGATCTTATGAAATTGCCGTTTAAAGTTATTAATTAGCGCTAGATCTATTACATCAGCCGTAGGAATGACAATCGCTGGAGCTCAGCAATCACTCACTGGACACCATATGAGGGAAGACGAAACAGGGGACGTCAAAGAAAAAGATGGAGAGACGAGTTGCAACAGTTCTGGGGACAGACAAATTTGCACCAACAGGCGCTGAACAGAGGCATTTGGAAACATCATGCTGAGGCCTTCATCCTGCAGTGGATTGACAACGGCTGATAAAGTAAGTAAGTAAAAAAGATCCAAATTTAAAATATTCTAGCAATCAATGATAGGCCTAATCGTCATCGAAGCCATTATATAGGAACTAATTTCTAAAGATTTTATGGCTGAGAAATTTATTATAGATCTACACCTCTAAAGGGCTCTAATAATATCAGCTTAAGAAATTGCTGTGATGTTCTCAGGTAAGAATTCCTGCAATAAAAGAAGTAACAAATAAAGCTGATATTATTAGAGCCTTTTAGAGGAGTATATAGTCTAGAAACTCTAGATCTATAATAAATTCTCAACCGTAAAACCTTTAGAAATGAGTCCTATTAAATATAGTGGCTTCGATGACGAGAAAGGCCTTTCCTTGATTGCTAGATTAATTGTAACTTAGTGCTAAGTAACAGTTTTTCACAGCAATTTCATAAACTGATATTATTAGAGGTGTAGATCTGTAATAAGTTTGCTAAAGGTAGAGATAGTCCAGTAGACGGTACCATATACCTTGTACATGACCTTCCAGGCTTCTTGGATTAAGATTATCAACATTATTACATACTGCACATATATGCTAATTAGATGATTATGCTAATTAGGCTAACTATACTACATCTACATGGAATATCTTCTCATGAAGTAATGATTAGTCTTTCAAAAGTGATTTACAATGTTGCATTGCACCATCTTTAGGCTTTATAGATAAACAATGACAATGATAGTCCAAGTTGTACACAAAGTCATGCTTATTAATATTAGCTCATTATGCTCATTATGCTATTTAAGACAATTGCATTACTTGAAATAAAAAACTTGTGTCATAAATGAATTCCTCGTCATAGAAAACCCTTGAAAAGTCGTATTATCCATGTTTTCAGGCTTTCTGGATTGAGATTAGCAACATTATTACACATGCACATTATGCTAATTAGATGATTATACTATTATGGCTATTAAAACAGTTGCCCAAGGTCGCGAAGCTGGCAACCCAGCTGAATTTACTTCAGTACCCATCTAGAACACAAATCAACAAAAAAAAACTTTGTACTTAACAACTTTTCCAGGTCTGAAAAAAAGATGCTAGAGCAGAAATGGAACATTTGCAAGCCTGTGCCTATACATGCACACCATGCATTCTCATTTATGCAAGACGCTGTGTTTACGTGTGTGAAGCCCAGAGTTTGCACCGTTTCGAGTTTCGCATCTATAGCACGCCTAAAACTTGATGAGCAAGATGAGCTCTGATTGGCTGTATGGAAATGAGTACATACTGGGGTCCGGAGCTCAAGTGGGAAAAAAAATTACGCGGCCCGGTGTTTGAGAGAAAGAGGAAGATATATGGCGTGTTCACACCGCAAGGGGGACCTTGGGCGGACCGTGGATCGCGCTATCGTAGCGCGACCCACTGTCCGCCCATTGGTATTCGCCGGATCCACACCGCATTGAGATAGCGCGGTCTATCGGAGCACCCCCTTTTTGAGAGGTGTTGCAATGACGCGTGACGTCATGAGGTCAGAGCGGTCAAAGAATCCGAGCGCTATTACGAACTAGGAGTTTTTTTTTTTTTAAGGTCAGTTTTTATTCTTTTCTCTCTTGAAACAAATTATAATCATAGTACAAATTACAATCATCATATGTAACTCTCACTGCAAATGTGATGACATTATAAATCAGAAATTTTTGTCTTACAAACGGCTTCAAAAGAAACTTACATAGTTAGTTCCTATACATCATATTTGAAACAAAAATTCATATTTTCAAAGAAAACATATGCAGTTGTATAATCCAAATTTTGTTTTGTTTTAACAATGTAGCAACTTATACTTCTTTTTATACTGTTGTCCTGAGAGAAAAGTTTTCTCTTTTTGTTAACCCTACCCTACCCGACCTTTCCCTTATCCCCATCCCCCCCCCCCCTCTTAACCGGTGGACGACTGGCTCTGGGTTCCAATTGTTTGTCTAATACTCAGGTTTTCCCATTTAGAAAAATGAATAGTGAGAGTTCCCCTCATTGCTGCCAATTTCCTTTCTTCTACTTTATCCCCTATTATACTATTCTTTATTTCATTAAAAGAGGGTGATTTTTTAAGTTCTCTATTTCTATAAATCAGATATTTAACAAGAATTAAAACATGATTCATTAATTGATATTTTCCTTTATTTCTCTCCTCTTTCCCATACAGAATTTCCTCCAAACTACAGTTATGTATTTCAAAGTCTAAAAATCTCGTGCACATTTCCCACACTGATTGTGCAAATTCACAAGTATAGAATAAATGTTTATATGTTTCTTCATCTTTTTCGCAAAATGAGCATAAGTTAGTCGAGACAAGACCAAAACGGAAGAGGTGATGGTTTGTATATAATATATTATGTATAAGTTTGAACTGAAACTCTCTTAATCGACTGTTAAGTGTACACTGTCTTAGTCTTAAAAATATGTTTTCTATTTCCTTACAGGAAAAACCATAGTTCCTTCCAATTGTCTCAAAAAACCAAAGGTTTAAAATCATCTTTCTTTATTAATTGTAAATAAATTTGTTTTGATTTTAAATCAGCTATATTAGTTGTTTTCTTCCCCAAAGTGAAATCAGTTCCAGAATTATTTTTTTCTTCTCCCTTTCTAAAATTATTTTTCCAACAAACTGGTAAACAGGCATAAAAGTGCTTGATCTTTTCAATTTCATTTACTTCAACACCTAAATCGATAAAATGCCTGTCACTTTTTAGTTTACCATCGTTTTCCAGAATATGTTTTAATTTGTAAATTCCTTTGTCATACAACCTCTTATCGTATATACAACTTCCTTTATATCGAATAAGTTTATTATTAAAAATTACCACATCACCAATGTCTATACTCCTTATATGTCTCGTATTCACCCAATCTTCTAATAAATCCATATAAAATTGTGGAGCTGTCACTTTTAATAAACTTGGTATATAGTCACATGAAAATATCAAATCTCCACCCACGTGTTCAGTGACAAAGTTAAAATATTGTTTCCATTTCATGTCTTCATCTTTGTTTAGAAGTTTTTGAATCCACATAATTCGCTGCGATTTAACTTGTGCAGAAAAATTTAACATCTTTAACCCCCCTTGGTTATAGTCTAAGAACATGGTGTTTCTATTGATTTTATCTGTTTTTCCTTTCCATATGAAATCAAAAGTTAATTCATCCAGTGAATCATAAACCCATTTTGGAACAGGAGTAAGTGACGCCCGATAAAGAACTTTAGAATAAATGTGCACTTTCAATAGTTGAATCTTACCCATAAGTGTTAAATCCCTTTGCTTCCAAAAATTTAAAAGTGTTTTTATTTTACTTAAGATTTCTTTATAATTTAGATCTTCTTTCTTGTGTTCATCGAGGGAAAAGAAAATCCCTAAAACCTTAAGAAAGTCAACTATTTCGCCAAAAGCAAAATCACAATCTAAACGTTGACATGAACCTAACCTTAATATTTTAGTCTTGTCGTTGTTTATTTTCAGTCCAGAAATTTTTTCGAAATCTGCAAATAATACTT